GCTCAGAAGCTTTGTGGGTCTCCTGCAGCCCCTGTAACTCTAGCAGCTGGGTTTCCCCCGCTCTCTCCTTCCTGACACCCGGCAGGCCCTTCCGATCTTTCCCACGTTTTCCAGCAAAATCGCGCTGCCTTCTTCTCGGGTCTCTCACCCTCCAGTTGTCTTTCTGTCCTCCTGGGTCCAGGAGCGAGGGTGCTGGTGTCTGTGCGTCTGCCCTCCCCACCTGGGAGAGCCCCCCCCACCTCCCGCTACCCCGGCTTCATGCCCGCGTGCCGCCTGGGGGTGCCCGCCGCTCACGTGTGCCCCTCCAAGTCCCGAGCTCCTCGGCCCCGGAGGACTGTGCAGCCTGCTCGACCTCTCGTCCTCTGCCTGGGACACATCACTCAGCTCACGGTCCTCACGGTGCGAGCCATGCTCGGCCCGCGGGCCCTCAGCCCCTCGGTGGGGAGCGTGCTCAGTCCAGGCCCCTGGCTCCCACAGCGAGTTGGGGGGGTGCGATGTGCTTGGGGTGGAGCGCCCCTGGTGTCCGAATCCACACTCCGCCCCGCGCCTCCCGTGCGCCCTGGGGCGCCGGCCTGCACGGCGACTGGGAAGGGTGGCCTCCGCACCCAGCGGAGAGAGCCAGCAGGGGTCAGGGCAGGGCCCGGTAGCGTTGAGGAATCTCTCACCCTGCCCTGGGGACTTGGGGGACTTGGGGATGGACGCCGGCCCGCAGAGGTCGGTGGCCTGGCAGCCTAGCCTCTCTTCTGCCCGCGTCCCGTTGAGGTGTCGGGAGACCCCAGCGCGGTGGCCTCATCCTGCTGGTGGCAGACCAGGCTGTCTGTGGAACGTGGCCGAGGGTTTGGTAGTTGGAGGGTTTGGCACTAACACGTGTGCTCACTAGCGTGTTGTCACCGTGAGATGGGGGCGTGGTGGCCCCAGGGGTCTGTCCGGGGTCGTGGGAAGGGTGGTGGGGAACAACACCTCTCTGTTCCAGGGCTGGAGAGGGACCCGGCGGCACGGGGCTCGTGGGCCCGGAAGAGGATGAGGAGGGATGAGGAGGCGCAGGACCCCACCTGTGCTGCCGCCCAGCTGCACGCACTGCACGGACGCTTGCCCCCGCCCCCGAGCCCCAGGTGACCCCCGGGTGCCCCGCCTCGCGGGCCGTTGTCCTCGAGCTGCCGAGGCCCCTTTGGCCCCTGGGAGGCGGTCCCCGGTGTGCGCCCGGGCCAGGGGTTATGAGGCGTACAGGGGCCCGCGGAGGGCCGTACCGTAGCCACCTTGAGGCCGTGGGGCGTTCAGCTCCCTGCGCAGCTCCCCGGGGACGGCTGGGGCCCGATGCTGGGCTTCCCGCGGGCCCAGGTGTCCGCCCGGGAGCCCGGGCCCGAGTGTGCTGACGTGGGGGCCCGTGTCTGTGCCTGGGGAGAGTGGAGGACATGAGGGAGAGGCAGGTGGCTGTGGCCGGCTCCAGGGGTGCACAGTCGGTGTGTCCTGTTCTCGGGGCCTCTCCAGGGCACCTGTGGGACCAGAGGAGGCTGGGAAGCTGGCCGCAGAGAGGGCCCGGGCGCCTGTCGTGCCCTTTGGGGTGGATCTGTGCTACTGGGGCCAGGAGCAGCCGCCGGCCGGGAAGATCTTCAAGTGAGTGAGTGTGTGTGCGTCTGGCTCCCGCAGGCACCCACCCCACCGCCCTCGCCGGCCGCGACTCTCGCTCCCTTGCCCTGCAGCCCCTGCGGATGCCAGCAGGGCGTGGGGACGGCCACCACATGGCACGGGTGTGTGGCGGCCGTGGAACCGTGTGCAGTGCGCGTCTGCACTCTGTCTGAGGTGCCCCGTCGCTCGCCGTCCTGCGTGGTCTGGCATCACCCCGGGAACGAAGGACGGGCTGCCGGGCCCTTTGTGACCCCTCGCGCTCCCTCAGTGCTTCTGCACCCCAGCCCCCGTCACGGCCGCCCCACCCACCCCTCGCCCGGTGCTCTCAGACGCCCCCCCCCACGGGCCAGGCCTGGGGTTCTGCCAGGAATTTCTGGGAAGCTGCCCCCTGGCTGTGCTGGCCTTCACTTTCCCTCTGGGGGCCGCCGACGGGAAGGGGCGCGACTTCCATCTGCGTGTCCCCCAGGCGAGTCCCACTCCTGCCGGGCCGGGATCGCCCCTGAGGTCTCTGTTCTGCCGGGCTGCTGGCGTTCACCTTGTGGCACCTGCGGTCGGGTCCTGGGGTCTCTGCGGCGTGCCCTCCCCAGCCTGCCCGGCCCAGGCCTCGCCGGCCGGGCCGGCCGACGGCCTCCCTGCGGCAGCGCTGAGAGTCTGGGGTTGCAGGTGTCCCTCTGAGCACCGCTTCTGGAAGCCCAGTGAAGCGCACGTGGAAGTGGACAACGCCAACGTCTCAGAGATGCTCCGGAGCCGCTACATCACCTTCGCGGGGAAGTTTGAGCCCGTGCGGCACCGCTGCCGCGCCCCGAGGCCCGACGGCCGGCTCTGCGAGCGCCAGGACCGGCTGAAGGCGAGGCAGGGGCTGAGGCCGCGACGGGCAGGGCGGGGCGGGGCGGGGCGAGGGGGCGGGGTGGCAGTGCGCGGCTCCAGGCTCCAGCCTCCCACTGCCTCTGCTGGCCGCTGCCGCCCCAGGGAGGGCTTGCCTGTGGCTGTCACGCGTCGCTCAGGCGGGGACTTGTGCCGGGGTTGGGAGCTGGGGCGCTCCGCACTTTTTCCGGCGCCCTCGCTTGCTTAACACCGCACCTCCTGAGCCCACTCCGTACGGAACACGCCGGGCGGGCGGCGGGCGCGTGACTGCCATGGGCCCCAGCCTCCCTGCTCCCTCGGCCCACCCGCCTTCACAGACGTACCCCAAGAGCCCCTCCTTTTCGGGGTGTGCGAAGGAAGGGGCATTCCTGTCCCGCCATCCGAACTGCTCTGTTCTCTGCCACAGTGTCCTTTCCACGGGAAGATCGTCCCGAGAGATGACGCGGGGCGGCCCCTCCGCCCGGAGGACCGGGCCTGGGAGCAGAGGCGGCTGCAGCAGCAGCAGCAGCAGGCGGGACGCCCGGGTAGGTCTGGGGGCTGTGTGGGGACGGCCGGGACCCTCCCCATAGGGTCTTTGTGGCCACCTGCCACCAGCGTGGTCCCGGCTCACGGCGGCGCAGCTGGGACACAGCGGGGTGGTGCTTTCGCACAGCCGCCACCTGGAGACGTGGATGCGCTCACGGCCCGAGAAGGCCGCGTTGTTGGCTGGTTGGTTGTTTGGCTTCTGGGCTCTGAATCAGTTTTTTAGTTTTGTTTGTTTTTTTATTTTTTTTAACGTTTATTTACTTTTGAGACAATATGAGAGAGAGTGCAGGCAGCCGAGGGGCAGACAGAGGGAGACACAGAATCCGAAGCAGGCTCCAGGCTCCGAGCCGTCAGCCCGGAGCCGGACGCGGGGCTCAAACTCACGAAGCGTGAGATCATGACCTGAGCCGAAGTCGGATGCTTAACCGACTGAGCCACCCAGGCGCCCCCGAATCAGTTTTAAGGAGGTGAAGAAATGGAGGCAAGAAGAGTTAATTGGCCGAAGCCCGGGCTCCAGGGAGGAGAGCAGTTTGCTTCCCGCCAGGCAGACGCACTTGCCCACGTGTCCCCCGTGCAGACCTTGTGCCCCCTGCCACCCTGCACGACCGGCTCGCTCTCTGCAGCAGGGCGAGCTGCAGGCACGTGCAGGTGCATGTGTCTGTGCCCGTCTGGGCAGGAGCGAGTGGGTCCCGGGCAGGTCCTGAGGCCTCAGGCCTCGGGAGGCTAGGTCTCCACAGAGGCCATCTCAGGGTCCTGTCCCGTAGGCTAGATTCAGACAGGACGGTGGACTTGAGCCACATAAGCACCGTTTTCAGGACAACCCAGGGAACTTGTCTCATCCCAGTACGGGTGTCCACGCCCTGTGCTGGGCAACGTGCCATGTGCTGGCTGCCTCCCGGCTTCCCAGGACCCCTGAGGAGCAGGGCCAGGGGGCGTCACCAGAAGTGGCCGTCACGGGGCAGCGTGCGGGCACACTCACCGGGCCCCTGATCTGTCTCCGTGTCTCCGTGGTTTGTCCAGCCCGGGCCAGTTGTCTGGAGGCCCCGGGACTGCCTGGGGCTCTCGCTCACCTGAGAAAGCCCTGTCGCAGACCCAGAGCCCCGACGAAGGGCAGGCGGCCGCGTGCGTGGGGGGCAGCGCTGGCCTGCACGTGAGGGTCCCAGCCAGGCTGTGTTTGTCGTCATTAGTGGGGTTTCTCCCTTTGACAGATGTTAGGTTTCAGGCTGACACCCGGGGCAGTGGATGGCGGCGGGGAGGGGCCCCTGACCTGCTAATCCGCAGGGTGAGGCCTTCCCTGGTGGCTCACACTCAGGAGCAAATTAAGTGCCTATTTTTTGTGTCAGCCCCGAAGAGCGGGTGGTTCTCCAGCCCTCGGCGACTTGTTAACAACAGGTATCGGGGCTGCGGCCGCGGGCCGGCGCTGGCCAGTCAGATGTGAAATGGCATCTCTTCACTAACTACAGTATCGATCCCCGCCTCCCTCGCACGCGGGGCAATTTTCTTTTCCCTGGCGCTAACCTTGGTGACAATGCGCGCCGAGCTCCAGGGCCCGGCAGCGCACAGGAAGGCCGTGCGGCCCCGGCTTCTATTGATTTTCTTCAAAGGCTGTTAAATTGGTCCTTCGTTTTACTGAGATGCTCATTCCATCTCCAGCGGGCGCTGGCATTTTCTGTTGTGTTTAAACAATTGCTCCGTTCACCGGGCTCCTAAACTGTGGCGCCTTCTTATTACGGGAGATAAACTGTTTAGACACTTTTCCTTAATCTCGGATTAATCGTTCCTGGGCCTGAATTGTGCGGCCCTGTATTCCTTCACTTCAAAAAAATCAACTTGGGGAGGCCTGGCCATCTGTCTGTCTGGGGCGCACAGCCCAGCCCTCTGACCCTGGGCCCTGGGGTTCCCGTCGGCTCTGTGGGCAGGGCGTCCGGCACCCTCCTGCGGGCCAGGGTCAGCGGCCACAGGTCTGGGCACAGGAGGGACATTGTGCTGTCCCGCTCCTGCCCGGGATGGCCTTCCTGGGACGGCCGGCATAGGCAGAGCAGCCCCCACTGGGACCGGGGAGCCGAGACTGAGGTGGGCGGTAGCCGGGCCTTTGGAAGCCAAGGCCCGGAGCCCCCACCGTCGGACAGCAAAAGCTCCCCTCGGTTCTGGCAGGTGAGCGCGCCGACCTGGCCTCGGTGCAGCTCGGGGCTGGTGAGGCTGGGCTCTGGGACCGGGTGACGCGTGTTTCCCCTCGGAGTGCTGTCCCCCACCGCGTTGTGTGGCTGGGCCGTGGCAGAAGGCACGTGGCAGGAAACTCAGAGCTGTCTGGGTGAACTGACCCCCGCGTTGCTGAAGCCCGCGTCCGGTTCTTTTTGGACCGAAAAGAAAGAAGGCTGTGCCCGCGCTGACCCCTTGGCTGTGGCCACCGCTGCTGCACGCGCCCACCAGCCAGCAGACGGGCCTGGCAGCCATATTTGGGGGCCTGGCGGGGCACAGTCCAGCTGGAGGCTGGGAAGCAGCCTGCAGATGGCACTGTCCCCCAGCCACCAGCCTCAGCTGCCTTCCTGCCTGAGGGGTCAGTGGATGCACCGGGAGAGGCTGCTGGGTCCTGTCCCGGCCCCTTCCTGGCCTCTGTGGGCACAGGGGCCTGCGGGGCACAGGACGGTGGCGGGGGGAGGGTCTGCCTTGCCCCCCGCCCCGCTATCCCCAGCCGAGCCGGCCCCTACGGCGGGGAGGGATCGGGACTTGAGTAGGGACGCTCGGGTTAGTGTCGGGAGTTCTCCTAAATCTCGAGGCCTCTTTGCAGAGTGGCAGGACCCCGAGTTTATGAGAGACGTGGAGGCCGCCACAGGAGTAGACCTTGGCTCGTCTGGGTCCAGCGGGAGAGGCAGAGGAAAGAGGAGGAGACGCAGTGGCCTCACCGACCTGAAGCAGCAGGCCGACACTGCCCGTGCGCGCATCGCGAAGAAGGTGTTTGCTAAGTAAGAGCCTCTGGCGGCCTCCTTGCCCCCCACCCCCTGCGTCTGGGGGTGCCGGGGTGGGGGGGGTGACTGGACTCCAAGACCCTGGCAAGCCTGGGGCCCCGACTCCGCTCTACCACACGTTTCTCCCGCTGACCACCAGGCCCCTGGGTGGGCCAGGTGCTCCTAGCCAGCAGGGGCAGGGCCTGGAGCCGGTCACCCCGAGGGTCACCGGTTAGCGGTTCCCCTCGGGGTGGGGCTTCGCGCACCGGCCGGCCAGCACATCCTCATTTCCCAGTGAGGGGCTGAGGCCTCAGCGGGGGCTGCTGGCACAGAGCCGGCCCTGTGTCTCCTTGCCCAGCTGACCTAGAAGGGCCGGGCGCTGGCCCGGGCTGGGCTCTCTCGAGGTCAGTGCCCAGGGACGTCCACCTAGGGACTGTGGGCAGGGGAGTCGCTCCCAAGACCGGTGGAACCTGCCACCCAGGTCTCCGCCCCAGCACTTGGCCGGTGCCACAGGGAAGTGGGTCAGGGCCTCGAGCCAGCACTCTCATTGCCTGCTCACCACTGTGGCTCGCCGGAGCCACCTTGCTTATACGAGGTGCTGCCGGAAGGAATTGGGGTGCTTGTTCAGGAAGCCTGTGAGGCCGTCGCTTCCTGGGTCAGATTTAGGCACAGGTCTTAACAGGCGCCTCAGACCGTGCCTGCAGGGCGGCCTCCTCCAGTAGACTCTGGAGGGCATTTGGCTCAGTGTCCTGGGCAAGGGAGGCCCTTCTTGCTCTCCTGGCCAGCATCGCCGTGTACTTGGCTTGAGGGGACGGGAGAGCACGGCTTCCTCGGCGCCTGCACGGAGCCCCGAGGGGCGGGGGGGGTGCAGGACCTCCTCACTGCTGGCGCGTCGTAGGAGTCGGCATCCTGAGGAGGGCTTGGCCCCCAGCCTCCGGGCACGAAGCTGGCTTCTGGTGGATCAGCCGAGGGTAAAGGGCACCCTGGGTGCTGATGCCCAGAGGAGTGCCGGCCAAGGGGCCTCTGTGCCCCGCACCCTCCCACCATGCTCAGGAGAGCCTTCGGGCTGGCTCCTTGCAGCAGCTTGGTGGCCTAGAGCTCGTCTTGCTGGAGGGCCGGGGTGACAGCGCCCCTGGGGCCGCGCCCAAAAGTCACATGGGCACCGGGCACAGGCCCTCGGCCTCACAGCAGCCAGGCTGGGCAGCGAGATGCGCCCCATCCGCCACCCCGCGTCTTCCTGCCGCACGTTTGTGGTGTTCTCCTGCGGCCCCACCTGAGGTGGGGGCTGGCTGGGCGGGGAGGGGGCTCGGGGCGGGGGGGAAGCAGGCTCGGCGGGGGCTGGGTCTGGCAATGGGTTCTGGCACTTGGTTCTGGGGTGCAGCCTGGCTCTGGCGAGATTCGGGATCCCGGGAGGTGCTCTGGGGGTTCAGGGAGCCCACGGGGGTGGTGCCAAGGTCGTCGTTGGGCTCTGCGCAGGTAGGGCCCAGCTGCTTCTGAGCTGCAGGGAGCCTGGGTGGCCGGAGTGTGGCAGCCACCTGGGACCGGTGCCTCAGCCCAGCCAGACCACAGTCGGAGCCCAGAGCCCTAGCCGGGGCTCCCTGATCACGCCCCGCTTTGCTTTCCCCACAGGGCAGCCGTGCAGAGGGTCGTCACGGCCATGAACCAGATGGACCGCAAGAAACACGAGAAGTTTGCAAACCAGTTTAACTATGCGCTGAATTAGAGGGCCAGACTGGGCGTGTGTGGTCCCCTCTGGCCGCAGCTCCTCTTCGCCCTGTGCCAGCGCTCGAGGACGGGCGAGCGGGCACGGGACCGGGTCGCCACCACAGCCACCGTTCCTGTGTGTGCTTCGTGGGAGGAGTTAGCGCGTATTCTAATTAAAGTGCCCCAGAGCCGTGGACTGTCCCTCCCGCGGGGGTGCCACTGTCCTCTGGGCTCCCGTCTGGCCCGAGAGCCTGGAGGACACACGGGCAGCTGTGTCTCAGTGGGGCCTCTTACAAAGCCTGTACATCTTACAACGTGGCTCAGAGTCGATGGGCCACGTGTGACCCCTGGCCCCTTCCCTGGGCGGTGATCGCTCGGAGGGGCTCCAGGAAACCCACACTTCTACGCGCACACCGTTTCTAAGACGAACACACCGGAAGTGAACCGCTCAGGGCGCTGTGCCTTGTGCCTCCAACGCACACGTGTGGGGTGGTGGTTCTGCGTTAGAATGCCCACAACTACCTCACTGCTCTTGTTCTTCCAAGGACCGCGTTCCTGAGACAGAACCCACATACCATAGCATTCACCCTTTCAGAACGTATAACTTAGTGTCATTAAGTGCGTTGACGGTGTTGTGCAACCCACACCACCTGATTCCAGAACTTTGCATCACCGCAGAAGAAGCCCTGTCCCCGTGGGCAGGCGTGTGCAGCACCTCTGGATTTGTCTGCGGGTTTGCGCCCTTTCTGGACGTTTCACGTGAATGCCCCTCGCGTCCGGCTTCGTCCGCTTAGCCCCGTGTCTCCAGGGTTGTTCCGTGTGATAGAATATGCCAGAACTCCAGCCCCTTTTGTGGCCTAGTGATGATACCCATTGAGTGGATGCCACACCCTGTTTATCTGTTCATCACGGACATGTGGGTCGTTCCACATCGCTTGTCTGTTACGAATAATGCTTCCGTGAACGTTTGCGTACAGGTTTTTGTGTGGACATGTATTTTCATTTCTTTTGGGTTTACACCTAGAAACGGAATTGCCGGGTCATATGGCGACTCTGTCTGACTTTTGGATGAACTGCTGAACTGTTCCAAAGCCGCCGAACCATTTTACTTACATTCCCACCGCAGCGCGTGAAGGTTCCAATTTCTTGTCTGCGCTTGTCCACGCTTGTTATTATCTGTAATTGGCGTAAAGTGGTGTCTTGATTTGTATTTTAGTCTGTATTTTCCTAGTGACCAGTGGTATCATTTTTTCGTGTGTTTGTTGGCCATAGAAATATCCGTTCAGATCCTTTGACCATTTTCAGTCGGATAGTTTGTTTTGAGTTGTAAAAATTCTTTATCTATTCTGGATGCCAGATCCTTATATCGTGTGCCAATACCTTCTCCCATTCTGTCTCACTTACTCAATAGTGCCCTTAGAAGCACTAAGTTGTTACTTTTCATAACATCCAGGATCTGTTTTTTCTTTTGTTTCTTGTGCTTCTGGTGTGCTGTCTAAGCAGCATGGTCTGATCCAAGGTCATGATATACCCCTATGTTTTCTTCTAAGTGTCCTTATCGGGTTAGCTCTTAAATTCAGGTCAGTTTTGTTTTGAGTTAGTTTTGTATATGGCGTGAGGTAGGGGCCCAACTTTGTCCTTTTGTGTGTGGAGAAGATTATTCTTTCCGACCCACTGAATTATCTTAACACCTTTGCTGATTGTCGGTTGGCCATAAATGTATGAATTTATTTCCGGATTCTCAGTTCTGTTCCACTGACCTATATGTCCTTATGCCAGTGCTGCAGTGTCTTGATTAATGTAGCTTGGTGGTAAGTTTTGAAACCTGAAAGTGAGTCCTCCCTCCAGCTTTGTTCTTTTTCAAGACTGTTTGGCTGGCCTGGGTCCCTTGCATTTCCAAATGAGTTTTAGGATCAGCTTGTTAGTTTCTGCCAAAAAAAAAAAAAAAGGCAGCTGAGATTTTGACAGAGGTTTTGTTGGATCTAGGGGTCACTATACTTAATACCTAGCCGTGTGGCTTATGCACTCGGGGTCTCATGATCGTTAGGCTCTTCCCCAGCTTCTTTTAGCAACGTTTTGTCAGTGTCCACATTTTGCACTCATTTTGTTAAATGTGTTCTCAAGTATTTTATTCTTTTTAATGCTGTTGCAAATGTAACTTTTTCTGAATTTCATTTTAGATTGTTCTCAATTTATAGAAACTCAACTGAATTTTGTATGGTTTTGTAGCCTGAAACTTTGCTCAACTCAGTTAATTCCAATAGCACGTGCGTACAGATTTCTTAGGATTTTCTCAACACACAGTCACATTATCTGCAAACAAAATGCTTCCTTTTCAGTTTGGATGCTTTCGTTTTTTTCTTTTGCCTAACTGCTTTGGCAAAGTAGAAGCCTCGAGTACAGTGTCAAGTAGCAGTGGTGACAGTGGACATCCTCACCTTGTTCCTGGGCTTGGGGAGGAAGTTTTCAGAGTCTCACCCCATGGTACGGTGTGGGCTGTGGGCTTTTGAAGATGGTTTTTGCCAGGCTGAGAAAGTGACCTTCTAATTCTACTCTGTCAGGTGTTTTTGTCTTGAGAAAACGTTGCATCTGTCCGATGTCCATCCATCTGTCTCTACGGAAACGATCATGTGGCTTTTGTCCTTTATTCTGATGATACGGTTTATTATGTTAATTGGTTTTTGTACGTTGAACCACTCTTGGCTTTCATGGGATAAATCCCACTTGGTCGTGATAATTCTTTTTATATATTGCTGCATTTGGTTTGCTAGTATTCTGTGATTCCATTGACCTAGTGTGCTAGTACTTTGTTAAGGACTTTTGTGTCTGTATTCATAAGAGATATCAGTGTGTATTTCTTCTGATGCTGTCTTTGTCTGGCTTTCGTACCAGAGTACTACTGGCCTCATAGGTTGAATTGGGAAGTGTTCCTTCCTCTCCTGCTTTTTTGGGAACAATTTATGGAAGATTTGTGTTAATTCGTTAAGCATTTGGTAGAATTCGCCCGTAAAGTCATTTGGTCCTGGACTTTTCCTTGTGAGAAGTTGTTTTTTCTTAATTAACTGATTATCTTCATTTATTATAGATCTGTTTAGATTTTCTGTTCTTCCTTGAGTCAGTTTCAGTAGCTTTTTTTTTTTTCTTTAACGTTTATTTTTGAGAGACAGCGAGAGACACAACATGAGCAGGGGAGGGGCAGAGAGAGGGAGAGACAGAATCTGAAGCAAGTCCAGGCTCTGAGCTTTCAGCACAGAGCCCGACGCGGGGCTCGAACCCAGGAACTGTGAGATCATGACCTGAACCAAAGTCAGACGCTTAACCGACTGAGCCACCCAGGCTCCCCAGTTTTAGTAGCTTCTGTATTTGTAGGCATGTGTCCATTTCACATACTTTTTTTTTTTTTTCAACGTTTATTTATTTTTGGGACAGAGAGAGACAGAGCATGAACGGGGGAGGGGCAGAGAGAGAGGGAGACACAGAATCGGAAACAGGCTCCAGGCTCCGAGCCATCAGCACAGAGCCCGACGCGGGGCTCGAACTCACGGACCGCGAGATCGTGACCTGGCTGAAGTCGGACGCTTAACCGACTGCGCCACCCAGGCGCCCCTTCACATACGTTTTTTATTGTAATTTGTTGATCTCAGTGGTTCATACTATTCCTTTACAGCCCTTTTTATTTCTGTAAGTGTGGTGGTAACATCTATTCTTTCATTCCTGATTTTAGAAAATTGTCCTCTCTCTCTCTCTCAAATTTTCTTGGCCAGTCTAGCTAAAGGCTTACCAATTTTACTATCTGTTCAAAACCCAGATTTTGGTTTTGTTGATTTTTTTTCTTATTTTTTCATTGTTTCATTATTTTCTACTCTATTATTTATTTCGGGTTGCTTTGGGCTTAGTTTTCTCTCTAGTTATTGAAGATAGGTGATTAGCTTACTGATTTGAGGTCTAGCTTCTTTTTCATTAGGTGTCTACATCTGGAAGTTTCCATCTAGGTGCTGCTTTAGCTTCATCGTGTAAGTTGTGTGTGCTCTGCCTCATCTTTATCTTCAAGTATTTTCTCATTTTTCTTGTGATTTAAGAGTTGGTTTAATTTCCACATACTTGTTAATTTCCCAATGTTTTTCTGTTACTTAATTTCTGATTTCATCCCACGTAGCCAAAGAACACATCATGTATGGTTTCAGTCCTTTAAGACTTATTTTGTGTATGCGCTATCCTGGAGAATGTTCCACATGCACTTGAGAAACTATTCTGTTGTTGGGTGTCGTGTAGACACATGTTAGGTTGAGTTGGTTCGTAGTGTTGCTTACCTCCTCTCTCTCCTTGTTGGCCTTCAGCCCAGTTGTTCTACCCACTATTGAAAGTGGGGGATTGCGGTCTCCAGCCATTCCTGTCCAGTCGTTTCTCCTTTCGTTTCTGTTGGTTTTGCTTCATGTGTTTTGGGGCTCTGTTGTTAAGTGCATATATGCTTATACTATTATTTCTTCCTGATATACTGACCCTTTTGTAACACAGCCTTCTCTGTCTCTAACAGCTTTTGTCTCTAAGTCTCTTTTTGTGTGATATCAGCACGCCTTCTGGTTGTTGTTTGCGTGGTACATCTTTATCTGATTCTAACGTGCTCCTTATAGGTGGGCATGTAGCTAATTGTGGCTTTTCATTTGTTCTGCCGATCTCTGCACTTATAGTGCAGTTTACTCCATTTACCTTTAATGTAATTACTATAAGAAATATTTACATCTGTCACCTTTCAGCTTTTCGACACATCTCTTTATCTCTCTTTTCCCCATTGTCCTTCTCTTGTATGTTGGATGGACGTTCACTTAATCCCCCTGTGCCTTTCACTGGGTGTTTGTTTTTGTCTTGGGGGCAATTTTTTAGTGGTTGCTCTGGAACCTTCAGAGTGAACGACTGAATATGGTCTAGTTTGGATTCATACCAACTTAATTTCAGGAGCATTTGCTCTAACATAAGTCTGTTCCCTCCCAGCTTCTTTGTGCCATTTTTTGTCGTACAAAT